CACCGTGTAGGGATAGACAATGAAGAGCTTCCTCTATCTTGTTCCCCCCTTCCCTCTTCTTTTCCTCTCCTAGCAAAACACAAACACACACACACACACACACACACACACACACACACACACACACACACACACGAGATAGCAGCTAGGACAAAGACAAAGTGTATTAGCAATTCTGAGGGGTAGTTCACCAGCCTTTTGCCGTAGAGTGTAGCAGCAGGGGTAATAGGTGGGTTGGTTTGAAAACATAAAACCACCCTTCGAGAATGGACCTCATGACCATGGGAGCTATTATGAGGCCTTGAGGTGGAAGGCATTAGAAAATGGTAGTGGATGATAGCAGAGAAACATGAATGTGGCATTGAGGGGAAGTAGAGGCTGCCTTCTGGAAAGGAGTTTCATTAAGAGGAATAGCTTGGGAGGAGTGTTAGCTGCAGGGAGGTGTGTGTGTGTGTGTGTGTGTGTGTGTGTGTGTGTGTCTGTCTGTCTGTCTGTCTGTCTCCAGGCTATGAGATCTGGCAGTTTAGAATGATCAGTGTCTTAAAGGGACAGGCCCATATCCAGCAGCAGTGATCCCCTAAAAGGAAAGTGGGGAGATGTATGCACAGCACATCTGCTCTAGAGTGACCCATGATTAGCAAAGTGGTTGTGCTGCTACCAAAGCCAGGACACTGAACAAAATTCAAGGCAGTAAAGTGTTGGGCCTCAGTTCTGCCCATACTAGCTGAATGACTTTCAGGAAATCATTAAAGCCTTTCAAACCCATATTTGTAGGATGGGGATCATAGAGTCTGTTTCAAAGGGTATGCATAGGAGTGAAATTAATGAAAGCAGTCGATGTGAAAATAGTTAGTGTAATCTATTGGGTGCTGGTTCCTACCATGACTAGCCATTTGTAAACTTCTAAAAGTGAATGAATGGAGCTGGTTGGCAATCCACAAGCCAGGAGAATGGATTTTAAATGTAATGTCTCAGCCAGAACACAGGGTTCATCTTAGAGGTGGTGTAGTAGGGAACAGGACTTCACGGAGTAAGCTTGGTGACAGAAGCAGAGTGGTAGTAGCAGCATGTATCTTACGGGACATTAGTACCTCTGTGAAAAGCTTACAACTTTCCTGTTAAATTCAGTCTAAAGAAGACACTAGAATTCCACTAGAAAGATGTGGGTCTGGGTGCAAGAGGTTCTGTAAAGAGAAGCCTTCCCGCCAGCCTGGTTCCAGAGCCGCATCAGTCCCAAATGAACACACAGGAAGCTATATATATATATATATATATATATATATATATATATATATATATATATAGGTTTTACGAGACAGGGTTTCTCTGTATTGTTTTGGAGGCTGTCGGTCCAGCCTGGCCTCGAACTCACAGAAATCCGCCTGCCTCTGCCTCCCAAGTGCTGGGATTAAAGGTGTGCGCCACCACCGCCCGGCTAGGAAGCTATATTAATTATGAAGCTGTTGGCCTTGCTTGTTTCTTACTGGCTAGCTCTGACTTAAGTATTTATCCCATAATTGTTAATCTAAGTATTTCTCTTACTGGAAAAGTTTCCGGGCTTCTTATCCCTATGGCGGTTACATCTTGACTCCCTGTGTTTCTCCTACCCAGAGTCCTCTTGGACTCCTAGTCCCACCTATCTTGCTTCCCTATTGGCCAACAGTGCTTTATTGACATATACACATGACTTCCCCAACAAGGTTCTTATTATATTAAGGTATTCTGGAGAGAGGTTGCCTTCATCCAATCAAGTAAAATGGCTTGTGAAGTCCAGTTGGCTTCTGAGGTCATGGGGAGGCAGAAGTCATGAGGTGTGGCTACAGGGGTTGACAGAGGAACACTCAGAAAGAGAGAAGAGGCCTCTCTCCTAGCAGATTATGTGATGCCTGCTCATGTGGGAAACAGAGAGTGTCAGAACTCACTTGGGGGTTAAGACATCATGCAGCATGAGTTCAGCAGAGCAGGGGTGTCTGCCTTTGAGATGTCCACGCAGTGCACCTACACATGCAAGCAGAGGTCAGCAGAGCAATGTGAATCTTCTGAGGAGCAGGAGGCAACAGGAGGAGGTTGCCAGTCTGGCCTTCCTCTAGGGGGTACCTCTGTGGGGGTCTTGATGGTTTTTCTGGGTCTGATGTGACTTCTATACTTTAGTTTTGGCTGAGTGCAGCTTAATGGAATTGACACGGAACTGGTAAAACTGCGGGCCTTGCCTTTCACATCTTGAGAGAGGATGGTATTAGTGTCTGCCACATTTCCATTTATGTAAGAGGCTACAGTGGAGATGAGGTTAGCAATTTAAGGTCTAGAAACAATTGCTTGTTTGCTTGCTTTGGCTAGGGATTGAACTAACTGTCCCTGAGAACACCCCTTCCCCTCTCTTTTTCAAGAAGTTCGAGAATTTTTTTAAAGATTTATTTATTTATTATGTATACAGTGTTCTGTCTGCCTGTATTCCTGCAGGCCAGAAGAGGGCATCAGGTTTCATTACTGATGATTGTGAGCCATGAAGTAGTTGCTGGGAATTGAACTTAGGACTTCTGGACACACAATTTTAACACTTCTTAAACATCCTCAGTCATGGAGCAGAGAAAGCAAACCAAGAAAGACACAGAAAAAAAAAAAGAGGTGGAACTCCTCAGGCTTGAGCAGAAGGATGGTTCCAGATTACCAGCTCTCATTATAGAGAATGTCCACCTTGGAAAGGAGTGGGAGGGAAAACCGCAGATCAGTTTTCAGTTAGCTGAGATTGTTGGCATGCTTGCTGATTCAGTCTCAGGAGGAGAACTCTGGGTTTGATGTATGAGGAAAGAACACTTGCCTGACATAGATGCCAGTAACAAATGTCTGCATCTCCCCTTCTAACTGAAGCCTTCTTTATGTCAAAATGATCCATGCAGTCTTCCTCAGTCTTGTCTTTGAAACCCCTTGCTTTTCTGTACCTCCTAGGATACACCAATAGTCCTCCATGGTTTGCAAGGCACCACCCACCACAGGCTTTTGCTGTCACTCTCTCTCTTAACTAAGCTCATTATCATTGGAGAATGTAATTTTCAGTTGACAGCACTGCACTAAGACCCTAACTCTGAGAGGAGAAGAACACAGTCAGCATAAAGTATGGGGCACATTCAGTAACAGCACAGGATTTGACCAAAATAGTAAACAAGGTCCTCAGGGCTTCCAAACAGACTGATGCCTCTATCCTGCCCTGAGGAAAAGCTTGGAATGCAACCAGGCTATTGAGAAATTTGTGTATGTAACCCTAAAGACTAGCAGCACACAAGACCACCAATGTTGTGACAATTCTTGTTCTGGGGCTGGCACAAGAACTTGATGCCAGAAACAGAGTAAGAGACCCAAAGTACTTGTCTTGGTCTTTAACATTAAAGGGGTAACCTAAAAACTCTGTAAAAGTGATGCATTGTATTTTAGATGAAAATTAACACAACACTCAACAATGGATAAAATATAAAAACTTAAAAGAGTGGGATTCATAGTAGTGTCATGTGGAGTCATACTGGAGTTTTTGGATGAAGGGAAATCAGTGATACTCATCTTCTAAACTGCATACCAGCTTTCTGGCCTTCCAAGGCATCAATTAAACCATCCAGTTAAGGAACCCCAGAGATGGGGCCATTTGCTGGGCTTTGTGAGGCTCCTCCCGCCATCCCCTGACCCTGACACCTGTGTTGTGCAGGTCTCCCTAGTCCTGACATTTCAGAACTGGATCACAGAAATTCTTTTAAAGCAACGGCAGGCACTTACCGAGCTCTAAGTGTTTACAAATACTCTCTCCTTACTTTGGCCTCGTGGGGTGTTACTTCCTAGTTAGGCACAATGATTTGCTCATAACTACACAGCAAATAAGACATTGAGCAAAAAATCAAATCCAGTCTGCTGTCTCACCGAGTCAATGTGTACAACCATTTAGGCAAAAACAGGTCCCTTATCCGACGGAACACAACAGAAACATTAAAAATACCGAAGAACAACCCCAGCAACAGAACCAACACATCCAATTCACGTGGGCCCTCTGTATTTATTGAATTTCGGTAATATGAAAGTAAGGCTACCAACCGGGGCTCGGCATCACCGGATGGTGTACCTGTCCCACTTCTTCTCGGGGTCGTAGGGCTCCCAGCGGCTGGCGGGGAAGATGTGTTTGTTCTTCTCGTACCAGCTGCGCAGCACCACCTTGCCCGCGTGCGACTCGTCCTTCTCCATCGTGGCATCGCTCAGCAGCCGCACGTCATCGTGCACGTCGAAGCTGAAGAGTGGCCCGCTCTTGCCCCGTGCCTTGGCCACAATGAAATCGTAGAAGGTGTGATAGTGTGGCAGGATGAGGTCTTCCTTGACGTACATCAGCTGCTCCACGCCCGCAGCACGCAGTTCCCGGAAGTCCCTGCGTAGGCCCTGCAGTGCCCGCTTCAGGAACTGCTGCACGGTGCTGCCCTTGCGCATGCGCACGGTGCGTCGGTGGCCGGAGCCATCCCAGTAGCTGAAAGTGATCTCCACCTCCTCTCCCTTCACCTTCTCGCGCTTCGCTTCCCACTCCTGCCGCAGCTCCTCGCGCAGCCGGTTCTCCTCCTCCTCGCGCTCGCGGTCGGGCAGGAAGCTGGTATCCACATCGGGGTTCTTGCCCAAGTTCTTCTTGGCCCCACCACTGTGGGCCTCATTGCCTTCGGCCCGGCGGCCATCCTCTTGGTCGCCGTCATCTTCCTCTTCCAGAGTGAAAGACAGGTTGGAGATCTTCCGCTTGCGCTCGCGCCTTCGCTCTTTCTCGCGCAGCATCTCCAGCTGTAGCCTGCGCTGCTCCAGCTGCTCCCTCTTGGCCAGTTGCATCTCCCGCTCCCTCAGCAGGGCCTCCTGCTTGGCCTTCATGTCATTCAGGGTCACCAGGCCCACGGTGCTGGACTTCAGCTCGGCCTCCACGGCGTCGTAATGTGCCGAGAACTTCTTGTCCACGTTTGACTTCATGATGGTCTCCTCCGCGATGCGCTGCTTCAACACCTCCATCTGCTCCTTCTGCTTCTCGCGCTTCTTGATCAGATGCATGGCCCGGCCGGCCTCCCGCATGGTGCCCTTGTACTGCGCCATGCCTGCAGCTCAGCACAGCCCCTACGGTCTGTCCAGTCCCTGTCCCTGGTAGCCTTCAGGGTCTGATGTCAGATTCTACAGCTAGGAACAAACAAACAAAACCGTTGAGAATCAACGGGCACAGCAGTGTAGTTAATGATCTACACCAGCGCCTTCCGATAGAACTTCTTTTGGTTGAATGATTCTGTCTCCGAGGTGATCCAGTGTGGTAACTACCGACCACATAAGGCCCTTGAGTACATGAAATACAACTGCTATTACCAAGGGATTAGTGTTACTTCAAATTGAGGTAGCCTTGTGTGACTACTGTACAGGATGGGTTTTGAGGCGCTGCATTGAAGGTTGATCTACAGAGCAGCTGCCCAAGCATGGCCTTGCAAGAGCAGAGCACAAGAAAGCCTGGGCCTGGGCTGGTGAGAACCGGCCATAGGAAAACGGCGGTCAAGAGAAGAGCTGTCTCCTGATGAGGAAGGTTGTCCATGAAGGATAACACCTGTCCTTTTTGAACCCCTCCTCCTGCAGGACAGAAGCAAGGAAAGGAAATGAGTTCTTGGGAGCTTTCCCTACATGTACCTACCTGGAAAATGATGCTAGCTTAAGGTCCCATTAATGTTCTAGTCATGGACCGTCCCAACATCCCTACCACAGTCTTCGGAATGATTTCTGCATGGAATGTTAGTTGGACTCACCCTGTGTGGGTGCTAAAGTACACAGAAGCCCTGAAGACGGAACTCTCCCTCCCTTGCAGTGAGAAAGAAGACATCAGAGGAAGTGCACGCAGCAGAGGCAGGTAAGCACAAAATGCCTTGTCCTTGCTTCAGCCAAAGCAGCAGAGTGTAATGGACTCAACTTGAGCTGACCGCTTTCTGCTGGTACCAGTTCTGCCCTCCTTATCCTTCGGTAGCTCCATCATTACTCAATGGACTCTCACCCCATGCGTCCCATGACCACTAGCATCCTCTTATCCAACTCTTTCCATAGCCCAAACTGGTCCCTCATGCCCTCTGCAACACAGTGTGTTGGCAAACTCATGGGGGCATCCCCTTTCACCTTCTGGCAGTGAAGCCCAGGTCTCCTCTGAGGACACCATGTCTCCACATAGCTCCCTAAGAGTGTTTTGCTCGGACAGTCTACATTATGCCGGAAATCTAAATGTGAGACATGTTTCCTCATCATTTCAATAGCATCTCCATTTTCTTTGAATTGCAGGCTGCTTTGTAGCTCATGCAGTTCCCTGACCTGCTCCTGCTAAGTCCTTGGACATCATTAACGTGTGACTCAGTTGCTGCCTTCTCCCGTCCTCATCCATTGCTATCCTGGGTGTCATCAGCAGGGCCCACCCAGCACCTTCACCTCACTTCCAATAGTCTCTTTCCTTGTCCACTCATTCTCTTATCCACATGGTGATGCCTTGGCTCTTATCACAAGCAACAGATTCATCTTAAGTTCCCCACATCGTTCCTTTGCATTCACGTTCTCTAGTTCTCTGGATTCCAGCTGTCCTCTGTTAGCCCAGACCTCCACATCCAAAGGCCCCCTGTACCTACCCATTATTGTCACACCCATATATACTTCTGGGTTTCCTACCTACCAAGGATCAAACCTCTTCCTACTGCCTTCACACCTCTTGCCTGCTGAAATTCTAAGAAACCCTGATCCTGGCTAAACCTGGAGTATCTCTCAGCCCTCCCATCCAAGCAGTTGATTGACCAAGGAAATGAACAAGCTGCTGGCCAGGCTCACTTTAAAAAACTCTGACTTCAGAGGCTTCAGGCCTCTGTGAAATTCTGCGACACTGCCCCAATGTGTCTGCTGTCCTGCTCTCCAAGACAGAGATATCATTCCTCCTTTTCCATCTCCACTTAACCGCCAGGATGGCCTAGTAGTTGGGGATCCTTTGTCACCACACCTCTTAGTTCTCATATTGTTTGATACCAGAACCCTAACTTATCATAAATGTCATGACACATTGATTGCACTTGCTTTGTTAGACCACTTTAACACACTTTCTCTATATTATCTGGGAAAGAGGTTTCTAAACTCAAGTTAACTGTGGAAAACAGGCATCATAGTTTTACTGTAGGACGCCTTTAATCTGCTTGCTTCTAAGAAGCAAGGTCAGGGTACATGAAGGGCAGATGAAGGCAAAACTCCATCCTGTTACTAAGACACTACATCTTTGGCTTCCGTATTACAATGTGTCACCAGAACACGGCTTGTAAGTTTCACCAGACAGGACACCAAGACATGACAGAAAACAAGGGAAGAGGTTAGACACCTTTTTACACCAGGCTAAGTGTCATAGAGACCAGAAGACCAGAAACCTAAAATCCTCTGAGGGCCTGCACCTGCTGACCTCTGCCTGCTTCTATTTAGTACCCCCTCTCCACTGGCCCCACGGTCCAAGCCACAGGTTGAGTCCCCTTTGGGTGTTGTCTCATATCTAAATCGTAGTTTTCCTAGAAAAGCAAGTGTTTTAGGCAGGTCGGGAATGGCCCCTTGAACTGTTTACTTAAAACAGAGAGGAGTGGCTGTGTTATTTTATTAAGACAAAGGCAAACTAGACACTGTCAGACATTCAGCATCTTCCAGCTCTGCATGCTCTTTCTAGCTTTTCCCACTGCACTAAAAACTGCTTCAAGCCAGAGGAGGGATGGATGAGCTCACTGTCTGCCCCTAAAGGCAGTCCTAAAATGCGCCTATGAAGCAACACGGTCCTTTGCCAGCCCTCTCGTCTTGTTTTCCATATTGTCACTGGTGAGGATTATTGGTGACCTAACACCACCATGGTTTTGCTTTGCCAAACTGAAAGCAGATAGTTTTTGTCCTGGGCAAGGGACAACGTAATAATGAATGATTGCCCACAAACTTGTATCTTCTCCCACCTTGGAGCAGGGGCAGCTGCTTTCCTCTATCTTTGTCCTGGGCTCAGTGACGGTCACACTCCACATAGCATTGGCTAAGACCCACTAGAACATTGTGAGTGTCAGAAGGGCTGCACCTAGGACCTGCAGGGGTGGGTGCGGGGAAATCCTGTTTCTGGGACTGTTCTCCAGGATGGAAGCTGTGGGGTTCACAATGAGATGGGAGATTACCCTTAAATACCAAGGTCCTGGCTTGTGGGGGGAGGGGAAATGATAGCTCAATGCACTCAGGAAGTTAAATCCCAAGATATGGTACTTGAGAACCTAGCATTGACCTTGTGGACAAGAGGGCTGAGCACTCCTGGGGGAACCATGGCTGTAAAGAAAAGCAGAATTTACATCAATGTGTTCACAGGGTTACTACGGCGCCTTTACCGTGTCTTTGTTGGTGTTAGTAGGGACAAATGTGCCATTTGACCCACGTGAATTTGTTACTTATACTTTCAGTCATTTGACAGAGAATTCCATCAAGCATCCAGAGCGTTCTGAATGTCTACCTTTGATGGTGTGCTCAGGGAACTACCCTGGAGTACCTTAGAGCTTTTGTGAGCACATATTTCTACTCCATACTTCATGGAAAACAAGACATTAACTATTTTCCCAGTTATCAGGACCTTCCAGGGACTCGCCAGCCCCAGAGGAGTTTTGGTATCATCTGCAGTTACCTCTGTGTATTTCACTTGGCTGATTGCTGTTAGGTTTTAGTCTCTAAACAGCCTATGAACATGGATGACACTGTCCCAGAGACAGGGCCATTTTGCAATATGCACACAGAACAAGAAATCCAGAAACTTCTAACTCCTTGGACCAGCTTCTTACTTCCTCCATTTTGACCACTTTGACCTTTCTGTAGAGTTCTGAAAAGTTCCTGCATCACTACGTCTCTCCTCCAATGCAGCAATCCAAATCAGACCAAATCAACCCAAACTGGAAAAAGCCCGTGTTTAATGGATACAACACTCCCAGATGATTTTCCAGTCCCCCAGAGAGTAGAGGGAAAAGAGACCAGAAAACCACACTTCTGTTTTGGGGGGACAATTTAAATACCCTATGGGAGTGGTCTTGAACATCTCTGGGGGAAGAGCCATCATTTTAGCAGGCTTTTTGAGATGCGGCAGGGTTTAGAGAGAGTTAGGGGAGGGGCCTTTGGAGTGGAACTTCCACCAGACTCTTTGAGTATATGGACTTCAGCGACTGGGGTGAAGCTTCCACCAGAACAAGTTCAATTCTTAGCAACCAAACGGTGGCTCACAACCATCTGTAGTGGGATCTGATGCCTTGTTCTGGCATAAAAAGGTGTACATGCAGATAGAGCACTTGTATGCACTGAATAAATAAGTAAATCTTTAAAAAATTTGTTTTACACGTGTGTACATCACAGGCCATTCGTTTTGGTGTTTAGTTATGGAAGCTGCCACAAATGCCCAGGTGCCTATAAGTTTTGGCAAACTGTAGTCATTGTCACTTCAGGAGCACCTGTGGTGGCACACCCTGAGGCCCTGGTGCACACCTTCCTGATCACCATGAGCAGAGATCTGCCCGAGGACACAGAGCTTGGTCCAGCCTTGTGGCGGCGCTCCGGCTCTGTGCTGGGGTCCAGGCAGGCACACACAGCTGGAGCTGATAAGAATCCTGAACTCTGCCATTATGCACCACCCTGACCTCTACACCCTGGCTGCGATGCCAAGTTTTGCTGTGTTGTCAGTCATTCAAATGAAACTCTTAGCTCAAGACTTCCTCTCTCGGTGCTGTGACTGAAAGTTCAAGACAGGGAGGAAGGGAGGAGGGAAGGATGGAAAGAAGGATGGAAAGAAGAATGGAAGGAAGAATGGAAGGAAGGAAGGAAGGAAGGAAGGAAGGAAGGAAGGAAGGAAGGAAGGAAGGAAGGAAAGAAGGACTGACTTTTGGTCTAGGTAAGAGCTTGCAGAAGCTCTGTTGTGAAAAGCTCTTGGTAACATCTTTAACAAAAGGTTAAATAAAGTGAAAGCAAGGGAGATGGCTCAGCAAGTGTATCCCTGGTGACCCAGGTTTATATTCTCATGTAAAAAAGGAGCCAGAATGGCACAGGTCTACAACCCAGCATTCCTGTAGTGAAAAGGGAAGCAGTATTCCTCACCAGGGAAGCTCAGAGGCTAGCTCACTGCAAGTTTGCAGCTAGGTCAGCAGCAGAAACAAGATAAAGATTCTGACTCTAACAAGATGTACAGCGAGATTTAGCCCTTGAAAATGCCCTCTGACCTCTACATGAGTGCTGTGCCAAGCACAGGGGACCCACCCTTCCCAATACACACACAATCATGCACAGCAGTTCTCTTATCCTTGCTTTTGCCTTTCACTTTCAATTACAAGCATTCAGGGGCTGGGGCAGATAGCTCAGTGGTTAAGATCACTAATGATTTTGCAGAGGACCTGGGTTTCATTCCCAGCACCCACATAGCAATTCACAACTATCTGTAACTCCAGCTCCAAGGTATCCAACTTCTGGCTCTTTTCTGGCCTCTGCAGGCATTTGTTTGTTTATGGTACACAGACAAACATGTAGGCAAATCACTCATCTCTACATAAATGTTTTAACCAAACCATTAATTACATGCACTCAGCAACAGTCTAGAAAATATGAAATGGAAATTTCTAGAAAATAACAATTCATTATTTTTTTAACTGTGTGGTGCTTTACCATCCTACTTGATAGTTTTGAGAGTTCCTGTTGTATTCTGTAAATAATTCCTTCATGTGACATGTGACCTACAAAGATTTCTAGCTTTCTTTCAGACTTGCAGGTATTCTTTGTAGAGAAAACAGTTCTGATTTTGATGAAGTCCAATTTATCAGCTGTCTATTTATGGATCATGCTTTTGGTACTTAA